CTGAATGGCTGCGGCATCATAAAAGAAGAAAAAGCATTTACTTAGTTTATGAATATGTAAATATTGGTTGTTCATAATTGAGTCTACATCCATTTACCTGGTTGTGGGATATACATGTATTTGATGTTAGCATCTGATGTTATAAGCATTTACTTCATTCAGGAATATGTAAATATTGATTGCATATAGGCTGTGTTTACTGTATTATTAATTTTAGTAACAAGATTCATTCTTTAAATTATTGTTATGTCATATTTTTTTTACTTATTCTTTGATTGAGGAAGGAAGGCTTGGAAAATTTAACATTCACAGGGCATGAGAGATAGATGAAGGCAGTTAGCCACTTACCTGATAAGGTTGTTTGAATGAATGACAGAACAGGGGTGGGAGATTTATCAAAGGAAGAAAAAACTAGTAAGCACCACAAAGGATAGGAAGTTGTGGAGAGCTATGATCATTTATATACTGAATGGCTGCAGCATCATAAAAGAAGAAACATTTACTTGGTTCAGGAATAGGTAAATATTTGTTGCTTATAATTAAGTCTGCATCCATTTACCTGGTTGGGGGATATGCACATATTTGCTGTTTGTACCTGTTTTACGTGATTTCGCACAGCCCTCATGGATGTAGCTTAAATATATTTCTGGAAAATATCTAAATGGAAGACACATGATGTCAGCAGAGGGGTTTCTTCTAACTGAGAAGAATTCAGTTGACTCAAAATGGCTTGCCAAGATAATTAGTAACTTTTAATGATTCTAAAAACAAAGATAAGATGGATGGCTTTTAAAATGCTTCAAGATGTCAATCCAGTTGCAATAGTTACACAAAAAAATGAACTTTTGTTATTTATATGAAATGATTTTTTTTTTTCCCCCCTATAATATTTTTCTTTTAGGTTTTCTTCCATTTTTAAAAGATCTTTACGGTATTTTTTAGTTTTTCTTGCAGTCCTGTTCCTTTTCAAATGTCTTCTATAGTTCTTCTTTTGATTTCCCTTGAAAAAAATATATTCTATCTTTCTAATTCTTTCTGTTCGGCTATTTTAATTTGCAATTTCATTAATTATCTTTTTGTAATTTTTCTAACCTCACCTGATTTTTCAGTTTTCTTGCTTCTTTTAACAAAAAAGAAGTTTTCATTTTTCCATGTTCTTTCTTTCTTTCTTTCTTTCTTTCTTTCTTTCTTTCTTTCTCATTCCTACATTCCTTTCTCATTTCTTTCTTTCTTTCTTTCTTTCTTTCTTCCTTTCTTTCTTTCTTTCTTTCTTTCTCATTCCTACATTCCTTTCTCATTTCCTTTCTTTCTTTCATTCCTTTCCTTTCTTTTCTTTCTTTCTTTCTTTCTCATTTCCTACATTCCTTTCTCATTTCTTTCTTTTCCAGCCCTTTCTTTCTTTCTTTCTTTCTTTTCTCATTCCTACATTCCTTTCTCATTTCTTTCTTTCTTTCTTTCTTTCTTTCTTTCTTTCTTTTCTTTCTTTCTTTCTTTCTTTCTTTTCATTTCCTTTCTTTCCTTTTCTTTCATTTCTTTCTTTCTTTTTTTTTTCTTTCTTTCTTTCTTTCTTTTCTTTCTTTCTTTCTTTCTTTCTTTCTTTTCTTTCTTTCTTTCTTTCTCATTTCTTTTCTTTCTTTTCTTTCTTTCTTTCTTCCTTCCTTCCTTTCTTTCTTTCTTTCTTTCTTTCTCATTCCTACATTCCTTTCTCATTTCTTTCTTTCTTTCTTTCTTTCTTTCTTTCTTTCTTTCTTTCTTTCTTTCTTTCTTTCTCATTCCTACATTCCTTTCTCATTTCTTTCTTTCTTTCTTTCTTTCTTTCTTTCTTTTCTTTCTTTTCTTTCTTTTTCTCATTTCTTTCTTTTCTTTTTTCTTTTTCTTTCTTTTCTTTCTTTCTTTCTTTCTTTCTTTCTTTCTTTCTTTTTCTTTCTTTCTTTCTTTCTCATTCCTTTTTCCTTTCTCATTTCTTTCTTTCTTTCTCTTCCTTCCTTCCTTTCTTTCTTTCTTTCTTTCTTTCTTTCTTTCTTTCTTATTCCTACATTCCTTTCTCATTTCTTTCTTTCTTTCTTTCCAGCCCTTTCTTTCTTTTTAGGTCCTTTTTCTTGCTTTTTTTGTTTGTTTGATTGCTTGTTTATTTCTTTCTTTCTTTCTTTCTTTCTTTCTTTCTTTCTTTCTTTCTTTCTTTTTCAGGACTTTGTTTTTTTTTCCGTTTTTCTTTCTCTTTTGAATTCTCTCTTTCTTTCTTTTTTTTTTCCATTTCCTTATTTTCCAGTTCCTTATTTTTCAATTGCTTATTTTCTTTCTTTTCAGTTTTTCTTTCTTTTTCCAGTTCTTCTTTTTTCAACACTTTCTTTCTTTTCCAGTTCTTATTTTTCAGTTTTTAATTCTTCCTTTTTCGTTTTACTTTCTTTTTTTCCGTTCTCTCTTTCCTTTTCAGTTCTTTCTTTCTTTCTTTGTTTATTTTTCAGTTCTTTCTTTCTTTCTTTCTTTCTTTCTAGCCTAATTTTCTTCATGTTTCATTGTTATATGCCTTAGTTTTTCATGAGCAAATTGAAAGTACACAAAAAATAAATCACCATTTTTCTCACCCTGTAGCTCCACCCCAAATATAAGGAAGTAAAAATAAAAAGACAATCAGATTAGCTCACACACACCCACACACACACACACATACACACACACATGCATGCACGCACACACACACATGCATACACGTACATGCATGCACACACACATACTTTACAATATATATTTTCATGCTTTTAAAAGTATATATATGCATATGTTTGTGTGTGTATGAGTGTGCATGTATATATATGTGTGCATAACAAGCTATATACACACACACATATATATTTAAAAGGAATATATATATGCATATACATATATATATATATATATATATATATATATATATATATATATATATATATATATATATATATAAAGTGTAAAAAAGTGTACTTAGCAAATCTAACATATATATATATGTGTGTGTATAGTACTGATGTCTTCATTTTTATTCAGCTTTGAATAATGTATTTATATATTTATATTTTTACAAGGAATATAGATATATATATATATATATATATTGTGCCTGTATATGTGTGTACTTAGCAAATATTATAAATATGTGTGTGTGTGTGTGTGTGTGTGTGTGCATGCCACTGATTTCTACAATTCTTCATTGGGCTTTTAATCTATTTCCAGATGTATTTTTCCTTGAATTGTGAAATTAATTTAGTCTTTTTCTTTTAATGTTTAGTTGCTGCAAAAGAGATAACAAGGAATTTTGCTAATAGTTTTTTTTTTTGATTCATCACTTGACAACTCTTCTTTCAAACAACATTAGAATTACAAACAAGAGAAATTTTGAGAATAATACATCACCTGAGTAATACATCACCTGCCTAGTGCATTATCTGTGTAATGCAATTCCCAAGTAATGCATTATATTATACATCACCTCAGTATAGATAGTCTGAGTAATGCATTATCTGAATAATGCAACATTTCAACAAAATATTATCATCAGTAATAGATTGTCTGAGTAATACATTATCTGAATAATACATCATTTCAACAAAATATCATTATCAGTAATAGATTGTCTGAGTAATACATTATCTGAGTAATAGATTACCTCAGCAATAGATTACTTCAGTAATAGATTCTCTGAGTAATGAGTAATACATCATTTCAGAAAAATACCATCCCAGTATTACATTGTCAGAATAATGCAATACCTCAGTAATAGATTATCAAGTAATACATTATCTGGGTGATACATAATTGAAGGCAGAAATACCATCTCAGTAATACACTGTATGAGTAAAGCATTATCTTCATAAAATATTACCTCAGTAATACATTGTTTGAGTAATACATTGCCTGAGTAATACATTATCTGAGTAATATATCATTGAAGCAAAATATCATTTGACTAATACATATTTTATGCAAAACATTGTCTCTGTAATGCATTATCTGAGTCATACATCATTTGAGAAAAGTATCACCTCAGTAATATATCAGCTGAGTAATATATTATTTAAGCAAAATATCACTTTAGTAATGCACTGTATGAGTAATACATTATGACAGTAATACATCATTTGAGCAAAACATCACCGTAGTAATATATCAACTGAGTAATGCATTATTTGAGTAATATACGATCTGAGCAAAATATTCCTTAAGTAATACATTGTTTAATACATTAACTGAGTAATACATGATTTGTGCTGAGTAATGTATTACCTGAGTAATACATCTTTTGAGCAAAACATAATCTGAGTTATTCATTTTCTTTTTATCTAATTTATATTCTGAGAAACACATCATCTGAGCAATACATCTGTGTAAGGCATAACCGGTGTAATGTGTTACCTGAGTAATACTCCAGCTGAGTAATACTCCAGCTGAGTAATACTTCAGCTGAGTAATACTTCAAGCTCCCAAGATCTTTGGTTTTAAATCTATTAACAAGAAGAAAGGAAAAAGAGTGAAAAACGTCCTTTATTACACGGAGGAAAAGTGTCACAAAAAATTGTGAGAAAGGAGAGTTCTGTTGAAAGCAACAAAGTGCTGGAAGCTGTGGGGAGCTATAATCGCCACATGATCACCTCCTTCTATGTACTGTGTTGATTCAGGACATGAGCAATCATAGTTTCGCACAATTTCCTGCCATTCATAGAGTTTAACAGACTTACTTCAAGATGACAGATTTAGCAGTTGAAGAACTCAGCACTCCAATTACGAGCCATTACCCAGTATCTGTCTATATTTCTGAGATGAGGTATTATGTTAATACCTGTTAATTCCCCTCTGCAAGTTCTCCACTCCTCTATTGAACTCACACTCTCTGGGTCCTATCCTCAAGGACACATGGCACAGTGGATAAAGGCGTTACTTAGATCCAGTAATAGGACCCAAAGAGTGTGAGTTCAATACCAGGTTAAAACAATACCTCATCTCAGAAATATAGACAGATACTGATGACCTAGAGGTAAGATATCTGGCTGATATCAAATTTCGATCCTGGCTTGAAGCAATCAGACATTTAGCCACACTGTGTTACAGCAAAACAGTCTGTTTGTGTGTGTGCATATATATATATATATATGTGTGTGCGCGTGTGTGTGTGTGTGTGTGTGTGTGCGTGTGTGTGTGTGTATATATATAGTCATTATCAGGGTTACATAATGCTTACAAATCACAAAAGTAAAGAAAATGTACATTTTTTCTCGTTCTTTTTCACAGGGTTTGGTTATTTTCTTTGCTCTTAAATCAGATGCGTTTTATACATGAAAATAAACTTTTTTCCCTGGAATTTCTCTGATTTTGGGGGTTTTTTTTAGATAGAAAATATATCGTAATCCTGTGTGTGTAAGACGCAAGTATTTTTTCATCCAAAATGGCGTCCAAAAGTTTACTGTGTCTAATATTTTAGTTTAGAACTCAATCCCATTTTTCCAGGAAATTTGTCCAAAAATGGACAAGATTGGGTCAAATTCTATTTATTTGTTTATTGGAGAGATAACATCTATCTCATGGTGGATTTCAACAAAGAGAAATAAATCTTTCTTTGAGGTAAAAATAATTTTTAATTTACGATAAAATATACAAAATGATGCATTATCAAGTTTTCATAATGCTTACAAATTAGAAAAGTAAACAAAATGTCCCCTTTTTTTTAGTTTTTTCTCTTCCTTTTTCACAAGATTTGACCAATTTCTTTGCTCAAAAATTATTTGCATTTTATACATGAAAATGATATATTTATCTGGAATTCTCTGTTTTTTAACTGCATCTTATACATCCTTGCAATCTATACAAAAGGATTATGGTATATATATATATATATATATATATATATATATATATATATATATATATATATATATATTGTCTCTTTAGGCAGTAATCCCTCTTTATACATGTTAAAGGCAACTTCGATTTAATTTTTTCTTGTGTTCATACAAGTGTTTTCTTTTCTGGACCCAAAATGTGTAAAAATTGTCCAAATGTTCTGCATGTCCATGCTCTTTCGGCTATACACAGACATATATATATATATATACAGACATGACAGAATTGAATAGACGCTCACAGAAACCGTTTATTTTATTAAACAAGTAATTTATACAAATGAAGTAATTATAAATGGTCATAAATTTAATAACTAATACTTGGTTGACATTCCTTTTGCTTTTTTTAATGCAAGGACCCTTCTAGGCATGCTAGCGATGAGTTCACGAATATCATCTTGAGGGATTTCTTGCCATGTTTGATGCAATAATCCTAAAAGTTCGGGGTTAGAAGATGGCTTCCTGTTCTTTTTGCGGAGTTTTCGATCTAATATGCCCCAAAGGTGTTCAATAGGGTTAATATCCGGGGACTGACTTGGCCATGGAAATTTATTGGTCCCATTTTGTCTCAACCAATGTTGCGTTGCTTGAGCAGTGTGACATGGAGCTCCATCTTCCATAAATAGGGAGTCAACTTTGCTCATTCTACTACTTGAGAATATTGGAAGGATCCCTTTCTTTAATATAGAAACATATTTGGTTGAATTAATGTTTCCTTCACACTCCACAAGCTTTGAGCGACCATCATTCCAAATTGCACCCCATACCATTACCGAAAAGCCCCCATGTTTCACTGTTGGCTGCAGTCTTTTTAAATCAAACTCTTGACTACAGAGTCTCCATCGCCATTCTCTTCCACTGTCGGAAAATAATACGAATCTTGACTCATCAGAGAAAATGACAGGGGTCCAAAAGGTCACAGGTCTCTCCACCATCTCATGAGCCCGATCCTTTCTGCGTTTGATATTGGCTGGACGGAGAAGTGGTTTCCTTCTCGCAACTCTGCCATAGTAGCCCAGCCTGTGAAGATACCTGACAGCTGTTCTGGGACTGACATCAACTTGTGTTGCTATGTCAGAGGCCTTGCAACGTGGATCCTGTTCAACATTTCTTTCGACAAGACGCATGGTTCTTTCAGAGGGCCCAGGGCGGCCTGGATGAGGTTTTGTGCACTTCTTGCCCTCTCTGGTGAATTGTACGATAACTCTATTAACAGTAAAAAGGGGTATTGAAAGATTTTCAGATATTTTTCTTTGACTAAGACCACCTTCATGTTGGCCCACGATACGTCCTCGCTGAAATTCGGATAGATCTGATGCTCTTTTGGTTCGTGGCATGTTCCAGTATTGTTATCTGCAATTTTAACCAAAAATCTAAGATCATTTTATCTTGGTTATTAAAAAAATCTAAGTTAATTTATCTTGGTTATTAAAAATAATCAGAAATAAAATTTATCTTGGTGTCTATTCAATTCTGTCATGTCTGTGTACTTTTATAAATTACCAAGGACGATTTTATTTTTACTTTTAACAGAATGTAGAGGTTGTGTTATGCATGTATCTAGAGTAATGTTTTATTTTCCAAACACAGTCGGCATATTGTGGCCATGATGTTCTTTTTCTTTTATATT